AACTCAATTCTTCAAGTTTTTTTTTTCCTTTGGAACTCAGAACTCCTTGAATCAAGTCACTTTTTGGATTACTCAACCAACACTTTTATTCACCATGTGTCCTTAGGGACATCAGTGAGTTAATTTGTGGGACTTATAAACCTAATGTCTCAGTAATCATTTTTTTTTTTTTTTACCAGAGCTCATATTACAAATAACAGTAACAGAAACTGTAATAAAAGCATTGGTTGAGTAATCTAAAAAGTGACTTGACCCAAAAAATTATGAGTTCAATACCTGGCCACAGTAGAGCTAACAAAAAAATTCCCAGGCTTTTTGAAAACCTGTTTTTTTATATATATTTTTTTTATTAAGGCTATAAAAACAGATATTCTAAAAGTATATATTCACATAATATATAAAAATATATTAAAAGAAAGGAGGAGGAAGAGAAAGAATAAGAAAAAAATATCACTCAACATAAATAAAAAAAAAAATAACCAAAAGGCTAACCATTTATTGCTCCTCACTGAAAATGCATGTCCAATGACTAAAAAAAAAAAAAAAAAAAAAAAAGAAATTCAGATGGGCATTATGCTTAACCGGCTATGGATGAGAAAAAAAAACAATAGCACTGAGTTTGTAAATCTAAATAAATTAACCTCTATAGGAAAAAAGGGGAACAAAGGTAACCAATGGAAAGCAAAAGCTACTGCGAACCCGAGTTTACAAAAGGTTGTAAGAATCAGCTGGTTCAGGTAACGATGACAATAATCCGTAATCAGGATTCAAGTCAAACAGCCGGCAGAGGACCACCATAAATATGGAGGCCAACGGGTGATGCACCAAGCAAACAATACGCAGACACTGACTGTTATGTGTGTGCAGATACATAAGAACTGGAGGTGGTGGTGGTGGTGGGGGGGTACAGCAATGGTATTCGGCAGTACAAACAGCTGGGGTGCTGCTGACAATAGGAAACAAAAGATAGCTAAAGACAGCAACTGCTGACATTTAATTTTTTTTTTTTTTTTTTATCCCTTTCCAACAGGTGACAGCCAGCTTTGCTTGAAGACAGTAGGGAAATGAAACAAGAGGAGTGTTGAGTACGTTTGAGAAAGGGCGGTGTGAGTTATGTGTTGTTTGTTAGTAGGGAAAGTGTTGGGGGTGGCTACAGATGCTCTTACTGTTTTAAGCTAGAAGTTCCATTCTCCCTCAGTACTCACCTCCAAACATTTACTTCATTTTGCCCAAAGTGCAATAAAAAGGCAACAGGAGGAGGCAATAAAGAACATTTAGATAATGAAATAAAATGACCCAAAGTTCAAGTAAAACAGAGTTGACAAGTGGGTGAGTGGGTTAAAATGAAAAGAAAAAAAAAAAAAGATGGAATATAGAAAAAAAAAAGAAAGAAAAATGCAGTGGCAGGTCATCTAAGAAACGGTGGTGGGGAATATGAGAAAGAAAAGAAAAAGGAAGAGAATAAGGGGAACAAACAGGAAAAATAGGAGGACAGATTGATGAAAAAAAAAAAGAAAAAGAACAGAAGAAAGAAAGAGATAGGGAGGGACTGATAGATAATAGAGAGAGAGAAAGAGGAATGAACAGTAGAAAAGATGAGAAGAATAATGGAACAGATGGTAGAAAGAGAGAAGGAGGAACGGACTGCAGAAAGAGAGGAGGAGGAACGGACGGCAGAAAGAGAGAAGGAGGAACGGACGGCAGAAAGAGAGAAGGAGGAACGGACGGCAGAAAGAGAGAAGGAGGAACGGACGGCAGAAAGAGAGAAGGAGGAACGGACGGTAGAAAGGGCAACGGACGGCAGAAAGAGAGAGAGAGGAACGGATGGCAGAAAGAGAGAGAGAGGAACAGATGGCAGAAAGAGAGAGAGAGGAACAGATGGCAGAAAGAGAGAGAGAGGAACAGATGGCAGAAAGAGAGAGAGAGGAATGGAGAAATGGATAGCAGAAAGAGAGAAGAATGGAGAAACAGACGGTAGAATAAGAGCAATGAATGGACAGAAGAAAGCAACATAGTAAAATAAGAGACATAAACAAAACAAAAGAATTATGAAAAACAACCGAGATTTCACTAATATATTGAGGATTTGATGGGGGCAATGAAATTGGCTTGCCTGGTTGATTAGAGTGTGTTACATATTTTGAAGATACTTATTTTTATCATTTAATCACTTCTTTCATATATTTGCTGTTTTCATATCCAGGTTGACCTCTTAAAGTTATTTCTCGCCTTGATCTTTGTGCATTTCTAAATTCAATAGAAAGGGTAATTCTAGGGGTAATGCTAAGTAATAAAAGATGGCACGGATCAGATAAGAGACTAAGAGAAAAGATATAGAAGTGATTATTTGACAAAAATATAGGTTGATACACAGTAAGAATAAATGAAAACAGATAGAATAAAAGGCTGCTTGATTGGTTTTTGAAACCCTTTAATAATGTTTAGCTCAATTATGGAACTGTATTAATGTTATTTGTACTTAAGGTGAAGATTAAAACAAAACCATGACATTTATAATTAAAAAAATAGGGATTTAGATACAGAAACCTTTGTCTGCAGATAAAACCAAAATTCCTCAAGAGTTTAAATTTTGCATTTAACCCATTAAACTTCCTTTTGGGGTGATTTAAAGTGCAAAAATTTTTTATCTAGCAGTGGTCTAAGAAAAGCTGATGATGCCGATTTAATAAATGTAGTCCGGTAAAAGGCAACAGGTTTAGGGGAGCCGTAACTGTCTGAAAGACGAGACCACTGTTAGGCTTAGGAATAACTAAAAGCCATAAATAAGGATTTAAGACTCTCTTACAAAGCAGATTGTAAGTTCTGAACCACCACTGAATCTTTTTTCCCCAAAGAAAGATACATGAACAATGACAGACAGACCATACGCATACCTTTCATCAATAGCTTGGACAGCTTGATACGATTTGTCTGATTAGTGATCAAAGATGACCATTCTTTGGCTGTATCAGGTCGCCTGCTACAATTACATGATGTGTTCACATGATTCTGTCTGTGTGAAATGTGAACCAACAGGGCAATAAGTCAAATCCGTCAAGACTAATGTCAATTATTTGATTATTTTCTTTTCTTTTTATTTTTCATCTTCTTTCTATTGTTTCATCTGACAAGAGTGGTGGCCAGACAGATTGGCATGTATGGAGGGATATAATCACTAGTGTGAGTGTGTGAAAGACAGTGGGAGATGTACAGTAACACTGTTATGTATGTATTAATACCTGATCAGTGAAAATCCATTTTTCCTGATTTGAAATGTATTTCTACAGCAAAATTATTTGCAATGTGCCAATATTACCTATATAAAAGACATGTTCTATCACCTGATCAACAACAATCATTGTTTTCTTCAGTTTCAAGGCATTTCTATAGTAAAATCATTAGCAATGTATAACCATTATACATATTCGCAAGTATGTACTGACAGTATCACTAATAGCACTATTTTGATAAGATTAGTAATTGCTGACCACCAACAATCATTTTCTTCTACATTTTCAATACACAAAATATGTACTGACTGTAAAAACTAGCAAAAACAATGAATGAAAGGAGACCTATGCACTGGAGGGAATGAAGGAGATCTAAGCACTAGTGTGAATAAATGAAACAGAGCTAAGGAATGGAGTGAACAAAAGAGAGCTGGGCGCTGGAGCAAACGAAAGAGAGCTAAGCAAGTCAAAGTATATGCAAAAAATAACAATGAATGCTTTACAGGATACATGAACACTAACTTTATGCATATGTTGCTCTCTCAAACAAGAGAAGGTAGAGAGGATTAGAAGATTGTGTTGTGTCAATTGTCCAAGTATGAGGAAGATAATCAGGACAAGTGAAAAGCCAATATCAAAAATTGTAGCTTTTACCTTGATTTGAACACTCATTGTTTATAGCTAAATAAAATGTCTTTGTTTCAACTATCATAGCAATATGTAATCTTACTTATTATAAAACGCAGATTGTGTGTGTGTGTCTGTACATTTATATATTGGATCGAATTCCTACATTTTTCAACCGATTTCAACAAAACTTCAGGACAGGACTACTTAAAAAATTACAATTGTTTTTGCACAAAATCATTTGAAAAACACGATAAAAACGATTCTGTTCCAGAATGAAAAGGGGACAACTCATATCAAAAATTATAAAACCCAGGTTGTTTGTGTGTGTGTGTTGTTTGTTTATATATAGGATCATTTCCTACATTTTCAACCGATTTAAACAAAACTTCACAGGATAAAGTTAAAACGTGGTTCTTCAAAATTGAAAAACACAATTGTTTTTGCACAAAATCATTTTGAAAACACGATAAAAAACGATTCTGTGCCAGAATGAAAGGGGGACAACTCATATCGAGTTATACTTATTATAAAACCCAGGTTGTGTGTGTGTGTGTGTGTGTGTGTGTTTGTGTTTATATATAGGATCGGATTTCTTACATTTTCAACCGATTTCAACAAAACTTCACTTTTTTTTTTTGGTAGTGTTTCTTATTGTCTTGCACACTTTTTTTTCTTTATTTTACATTCAGAATGCTTTAAAAATTCCATTTACAAGACAATTGTTTATAATAAAATTCTATTCAATCGATAGACTCATAACGATTGAAAACAATATTTTTTGTTTGAGTTTGGGTTTGACCAATTCGTAAAAAAAAAAAAAAAAAAAAAACTAATTAAGACATGCGTGTCCGTCAATCTTAAACAATAATCTTTGTCAATTTTATTTTTCAGTCTTTATGATGGTCGATACTTGATCTATCTCTTACTGTTACATCCTCGGGCAACGCCGGGCTTTACTGCTAGTATTTTATAAATTTTGTTTTATTTTTACAAAACCAGGAAAATGAGGCATTCAGTGAGAAAAAAAGTTCCTTACAAAGGAAAGAAATGTGAGATTAGCTTCTTGACTATTACTTGATAGCAAGCACACTATATATGAAACAGACAAAAGACTGTCTTATATACATGGCTAGAATATATTTATTGTGACATATGAGATATGATAGAAAGAGAGAGGGAAAATGAGAGAGAGAAAGAGAAAAATGGAGAGAGACAGGCAGACAGAAAAAAAGAGGGGATTGAGAGAGAGAGAGAAAATAAAGAAAAAATCAGTGAGAACTCTAGATGAAGAGAGAGAAAGTGTGTTTTTATATACAAGAGACAGAGGTTACCAAGCTGTTCACACTCAGTGAGCTGCAATTTATAAAGCCACCTTTTTGGGTCCATTTCTTGAAAAGGCTACAGTTGTCCAAATGGTTCCTATCATTCAACAATCAATTGATAAGAAGGAGACAAAAAAAAATTATACAAGGAAACTGAAGTAAGAAGAAAGCCAGTAGAAAACTGTTGTATTCCGTGCTAATAGGAATATATACTTGACAAACACGGTGGATAAAGTAAATAAGGTTTATTGTAAAACCAATACAATAAGAAATAAGGTAACAGATATGTGCACGATTGTCGCAAGTCAATTCAGTAGTAAGTGCTACTATTAGAAGGTCGGTAGTTCTTGTGTAAGTCTGAATCGTACTCAACAGATCCCAGCTCGACTCCTATAGTCCGTTGCCTTATGGATAGTTATAGGTAGTTACTACCTCTAGTGTAGTCATAGGGGTGACAGGTTATTCCATTACATCAAAAACAGAATAAGAAAATTGACCAATACTAAACAAAAAGAAATTGCCATTGTTTCTTTTGGTTAGTTGGTTGATTTTGTTTCATGGTATATCAACACCTCTATGGGTTATTTAATGCTGAAATCTGAATATTTTGAATGCAATTTTATACATTCAACTACAGATATTGTGTACATAATTTTATACTTTCAGGATAAATGTATGTTTTTTTAGATATATAGTTTGCAGATGCTAAAATGTATTATTGGTACTTTTACTATAAAAATGTATTATTGGTACTTTTACTATAAAAATGTATTATTGGTACTTTTACTATAAAAATGTATTATTGGTACTTTTACTATAAAAATGTATTATTGGTACTTTTACTATAAAGATGTATTTTTTAATACTTTTTTTAGTGTTGTATTGCTTGTCATTTTTCTATAAAAAATTTTCTAACAGGTGCTACCATGGCAAAAGAAGGACTAGAATGACTGACATAATTAAGGATTATTAGAAAAATTAATAATCAATTTAAAACTATTAATTCTGTTGCTATGATGATTTAAAAAATAATGTGATGTAGAATAATTTAAACAGGGGAAGTTTATACATTTATACAATTAAATATGAATTTGGCTGAAGAAGGATTTGTTTTTTATGATTTACTAACATATTATAGGTTATTTATTATAGCTGAAACATTTTTTGGACTGCAAGAATAATCCTTTTTTTTCTGAGTGGATATTGCCATAACAATATTTTTGACAGCAACAGTGATTTTTCCAGATAAAAGTCCTATAATTTAACACATATCTTGAGGAAAGAAATGAATTCATACCTTCCCCAAAGATATTTGTGTGTAAGTGAATATAACAAATCCAACTGGAATTTGAACTTGGCTCTACAGTTTCCCATTCCAAGCTGCTATCCATTACACTAACTTTCTCATTTCACCCTAAGCAATGCAATAAAAGCCACTAGGATGCAAATGGTTACTGAGAGTGAAAGAAGCAGAGGATAATAAAAGAACAGGATCCAAAGAAACAAATTTGGTAATTGACATCACATTTAAATTTTAGTAGATTGTAATCGACAGGAAAGCAAGATGCTGGAAGAGAGTTTCGCAAATGAGAAGTACTGGAGAAAAATACTATTAGCATAGATCTTACAGTTACATCGAGCACTTTCAACTGAGAATTAACACAACCTAGTAGCCAGTCAACTACTGCAGTGAAGTTCCTGAAGTCAAGATACCAATGAGGAAACCTCATCAGAGCAATTACTAGGAAACCTCATCAGAGCAATTACTATAAAAATATTTATAGAAAAAGCAAAGAGAAACTACATTACAGCAGTGGGAAACTGAAGTCAAGATGCCAGGTCAGGACCAATAACATTGCAGTTTCTTTGGATTTTATCAAGTAACTCTAAATACATAGCAGAAGACCCAGACCAGATGTAGCAGCAATATTCAATGTATGAATGAATGGTAGATTTATAAATGTGTAAGATGTACCTTTTCTATATCACTGTAGTTGTCTCTGATGAGTTTTCCTCTTTGGTACCTCGACTTTATGAATGCTAGATTGGAAGCTAGGTTTCATCATTTTATAGTTGAGATTGCTAGATGTCACCATGAATTCTATGCTAACAATTTCTTCTCTCATATTTCTCACTTTTGGAACTCTCTTCTCAGTTTTTGGTTTCTTGTCAGTTTTGATCTTCAGTAATTTAAATGCAATATCAATCATTATCTTCTTCCTTCATAATTCATGTTTTCTTATTGTTACCTCTCCTTAATAATATCTTTTTTTTCTCATTCTTTCACACACACAGTAACCACTTAGTTTCTTTATTTCTGCTTGGGGCGAAATGATAAAAAAACAAAGACAATAAAAAAAGCTATATTATCATCATAATATCAGACTATAGATTAATAATAATGTTATACATAATTACTATTATCTTATTATTATAGAATATATAATAATACTATTATCATAGAATATAATAATATTTATATCCATCAAAAACATCAAGAGTTAATAAGCTTGGGGTGAAGAGGGGATAAAAAATGAACAAGTGAGAACAGACATTTATTTGGTGGCCACAAATACCTAATGTTCACAGAATAAAATAAAACAATCCAAGAAAAGAAAAGAGAAAAAAAAAAGCAATAAAAAAAAGGCACAAAAATAAAACTTAACTAATAAAAAAACTTAATAAAAACAAACACTGACAATAATGTTGAAATTTTTTTCTTAAATAGGATTTGCTATTTTTTCTTAAATAGGATTCTCCTGCAACATTATGATGTTGCAGGAGAATCCTTGTTATAAATTACTTATAATAATGAAACATTGACTAATGTGTAACAAAATAAGGATTTTTTTAAAACTGTCTCTTTGCAAAATTAAATATCACAAAAACAATGAAAATTCAGCAGTTATTTTACATAAGATGGCTATCCATCCATTTATGGTTGCAAATTTTTTAAAATACTTTTTGATACTTCATAGAATATAAGGCCGTCACCCCACCCCTGTCCTACTTACTCAAAAATTAAATAAAAATTGCACTGAAAATATCTCTTGGTAGCTTTTATATACTAACATGAGATATCTGTTTATATTATTTACATCGTTTCGACTGTTTTCCTCATCTTTAGTAACAACATTTCAGCTCACGTACGTTCCAGCCTTCTTCATGTGATATGCGTTGGAATTTTGAACGAAACCATTTATTTAATCCGCGGGGGGGGGGGATGGTAGATTGTTCTAATTCCCCACCCAGGACACATGGCCCAGTGGATAAAAACATTGGCTGAGTAATCCAAAAAGTGATTTGACCCAAAAAGTTGTGAGTTCTATACTTGGCAATAGCAGAGGAAACAAAAACCTGGAGAGTCGAGTTACTAAAGGGAATTAACTGAAAACTGAGATATCCCCAAAAAGGCATTAAATGTGGAAAAAAAAATATCTACCCCAGTGGATTATATAAAACATTCAGTGTTTGAAATTCCAACATATATCACCTGAAGAAGGCCGGAGAGTACAACGGCTGAAGCATCATGAACATAGCAATAAAGATGAGACGTTCAAACGATGTAAATAGTGTGAATAGGTAAAATATGTCATCTCAGAAATATAGACAGATGATGAGATATCGGTCAATTAATGCATACCAAAATTCTATAAACCCTCAGTACTCATAATTTACCTATTAGTGTAATATTTAATGTAAATAGTGGAGATTCATGTGCAAAGTTGTGGTATCTGATCGGCTAATGCTTACCAAGTTGCTACATACTACTAATACTTGTACTAACTCCATAGTAGAAGAACGTTAAATGCAAATAGATGTAGGTTTATATGCAAAATTGATATATATGACAGCTAATATTTACCTGGATGACATCTCCAAATCCATAGTAGTGTGATATTGAATGTAAAAAGGTAGTTCTTATGTATTGTAAACTATGATATTTAGAGCAAACTAATCTAATACACTATAAAGTTACAAAAGTTTTATCTTTTAACTCTTACTGACATTTGGTAATCAACTAAAATTTAATACAGAGGAAAATTTTGCTTTGACCTGAGAAATATTGTTTTGAAGTTTTTAAAAGTTTGCACAAAACACTGCAAACACAAGCCTCGAACTGTCACAATCAAGGCTTTTGTCACAGCAAAATGCCTGACTGTTATGACTGATGGTTTGATTGTAACAGTTTGAGGCTTGTGTTTGAAGTGTTTCAAATAAACTTTCAAAAACTAGCTAGTCTGGCATTTTTTTCCAAGGGCAGATCAATTCAGTTTCAAAATGGAGTTTGGTAGTATACTTCCCAACCAGTATATTGTTGAATGGACAAAAATGTAGAGTTGGTATGTCCATCTATATTGGGGAAAACGAAAGAATATACTCTCATGCATATGACAGGTGGTGCATTTGCTAAAAACAGAATTATTCATTTCATTTAGGATCTTTCTCAAGAGGTGAATGTGGCTGCAGTATGATTTTAATTAATCCGAAGTCTTGCATACCAAATTTGCAACAGTTAGGTATTTTGACTGAATGTGACTGAAGATTAACTTCAATGTAGCTTGAAAGTAGATATTTGTATCCTTAAGTATTTAATCTTTTGCTGTTCTATTTCCCTATAGAATTGTACATGAAATGAAGGATAGAACTACATTGTTGGCATGGTTGCATCATGCTAACAGTTTCTACTCACACATTATATATATATATATATAAAATAATAAATTGCACATATAGTTCTGGTGTTAATAAAAAAAGTGTGCATTGTAATACTACAGAAGTATTAAGTATATATTTATAATTACACATATTATTCATCAAAACTTTGAAGTATCATGCACAATGCAATCTTCAAAAAAAAAAAACTATACTCGACATTTAAAATAAATAGGATCAATATATATATATATATATGCCTTTATTCACTGTGCCATGTGGATAACTAAAATTCATTAAAAAACAATAATTATGCACCCTGACTAAAATATATTACAATAACCAGAAGTATTAATCAAATGAGTAAAGTAAAGA